CAACATCCTGTTGATCCTATCTGACCAGAGGATTTTGTCCAAATTATTGATTTCCTTAAACAGCAGTAATACATTTTCCTTTTTTTTTTCCTAGGGTTTGCTACCATGAACACATTAAGAACTCAGGACATTGTTTCAAATGTATTTTGGACTTGATTGATTAGCTCTGCTTAGACTGCTGGTAAATGGCATGCCTCTCAGTAAAGAGCAGATGATTCAGCATGTTGCTAAAGCCTTTAGATATGCCTGTCATGTGAAAGAACACTTGCAGAATGTTAAAGAAAAGTTATCCTATGCAATCACTGATCTAAAAAGAAAATTGTGTTTCAACATTTTTGCTTTGCTTGAAAATGCAATGTAATAGCAAACTTTCATCATAATAGCCATGGTTATTCAGTGAATGGGCAAAGAGCTGTTTCCAACTGTGTTTTGGTTTATATGTATGTGTGAGTCCATATTAAGGTGTTTTTGTATTTGTTTTTTAAGTCAAGATTTCTCCCTCTCAATCTAAATCCACCTACCTTGCCCTTTGTTCCCCTTTATGCTGCATCAGCTCCAAATGTTTGTTCTTTTGAGTGCTTAAAGTATTAATCAACAGGCCCATGCTTCACAAAACAGACTAAATTGAAAACAATGGACTTTGGATGCTGGATTGGTTATTAGTATTTCGTAATTTACTGTTTGTGCTGTCTTTAGGAAAATGGAACATGAGACTTTTTAGTTCAAATGCTCATTTACTTATAACTATCTAACATTTGAAAGTTGGAGGGATCATTTTCAATGCAACAAGCTCTATTTGTTCTCTCTCTGGCAGGTTTTTGTACCCACTATGGACAGTATGCTAGACAACCTCTCAAAAACTGTAAGTAATCAAACGTGCTCCTTCACTCTTCCTGTTTGTCTTGAATTTTTGCACTTACAACTGGATTTACAGTCCCTTTTGAAATAAGTGAATCTTGATTTTTCAATTTAGGAGTTTATCAGCATTTGTGTCCGGGATCCAAGGCTTGTTAAAGACGACCTCTGGCACGCACACGTCGACTATGAGATCTATTTACATGTAAGTGCCTCTTGTGGGAGGGAAGCTCTAGATTTAGAAAACATTTGTTTTCAAGCTTATGTGAGAAGTCTATTGAATTGTTGTCCTCCTTTTTTTTTTTTTTTTTGTTCTAGACCAATAGCATGTGTTTTCGAAAGAAGACCTCCTGTGTAAGGCGCCGTTACAGTGAGTTTGTTTGGCTGCGTCACTGCCTGGAACAGAATGCTCTCATCATGTATGTTCATACCTCAGATTCGTATCATAAATTGACATTTGGTAACTTTTTCATTAATCACATTCCATATGCAATACGTTTTCTCGAAGTGCATTTGCTTTGTTGTTCTCTGTCCAGAGAATTACCCAAGTTGCCGCCCTGGAACCCCTTCTTCAGTTTAAGGAACACAGAGCAGGTCTCACAAAGGATGAAGGGCTTGCAGGAATTTTTAGAAAAGTGAGTAGTTCTGCAGCTAAACCAATGGCAGCAATCGCATTGACACCTAGTGGTATTGTTTTCACGCCCCCCAATGGCTGTTAAGAATTAATCTGCTGAAAGCAAGAGCACTCTTAGATTTGAAGGTGACCTTTTCCACACTATTTTAAATGTTTTTTTTTTTTTTTTTAATGTGTAAGTTCAGCGGTTTACGTTGTCATTTAATACCCCCCACCCTCCTCCTCCTCTAGTGTTCTTCAAGCACCTTTGTCGTTATCGGACAGTCGACTCCATCTGTTCCTCCAGTCAAACCTCAGCATCACAAAGATTGAAAGGTGTGCTCATGGCAAGACCAGGTACACAGTGGCTGAAGCCATCCAGCGTTCCAACAGCGGTTACATCGGTAGATTAGAGGACAAAGCCTGCTGTGACTCTGACTGTGAAAGGTACAAGCCTGGACAAAACCTTTTGCACCTTTTTTTTTTTTTTTTAAAGGGCAGCGATCCGCCTACACCCTTTTACAAGTGATTACAAATCCAACACAGCCCTGGGTTTCACTTCTCGCCCAGATCTTGTCTTGTAGGGGACAGTGAGA